TCCCTTGGTTCTAGATTTATTTATTGCTTTGCTGAGGACCTCTGATACCCAATGTCCCTTGGTTCTAGATTTATTTATTGCTTTGCTAAGAACCTCTGATACCCAACGTTCCTTGGTTCTAGATTTATTTACTGCTTTGCTAAGAACCTCTGATACCCAACCTCCCTTGGTTCTAGATTTATTTACTGCTTTGCTAAGGACCTCTGATACCCAATGTCCCTTGGTTCTAAATTTATTGCTTTGCTGAGGACCTCTGATACCCAACAGATTGCTATCCATAACTTGCTTTTGTTCTGTGCACTTTGGATTGGAAGATAATACCACTTTGTGCCTATTTCACCAAAAATCTCCACATGGCTTACAGTTCATTGAAAGCTCAACACTATAACAGAAGCTTAACACTCAGGAATGACTGATACAATCACATAACTCCGTAAATTATTTACTGAAATATCTATAATCATTTCCTAAAGCATCTTAGCACGAGGTACAATCAATGAAATAAAGCAATGATCAATACCAATTATGCATCTGTTTCTGCAACCAAAAACTTTGGTCAGTTCACTTGGTGTGGAAACTGAAATCAGTGATGAAACCATTAAAGCTCTTGGCAGGAGGGCATTAATATGTCTGGGTGGGACAACCAAAAATTCTTGACTTGTATCTCCAGATAATATGGTGCTCCCATCTTCTCTTGACAGATCTTAACTCTTGGGAAGAGATGCAACCATTGAGGTTCCGTTCAAGAGTTTGAATGCCATCACTGATATTTTCTCTCAGACTAAAAGCCTATTGGTGGCTGGTACAGTTTCTTTAAATCTTTGAGCCAGCAATATGGAAATTGAAATAGATTTCAAGCTCTTTCTTTTGTATTTTATTGCTGACCTTGTTAGCTTCAGTTTGTTCCTCCATTCAAGTCTCCCTTTTAATGCAGGATCAGTCAGTTTGCATAGCTTCAGTGCTAAAGGCTGATCCTATTCAAATGTTCTATCCTTTTTCAAAACTTAATAATGTGTTGAAACTTGCCCTTCCATTTCCTAAACATTTCTCTCCCTGCAAAAGAATACTTTTTTTCAATTGTATTCCTCCAGATGCTTCAGGATGTCCTTTAATGATGTCTGAGGGTTACTATTTTTTTGCTGGGAGTGGAAGATACTGACACTTTTATTATTTCATTAAAAACTTCCTCACTCTGATGCCTCCTCTCCTTGTCCTGCTAACGCAAGAAATACCCTTAGGGTGTCTCCCATTGGGAAAACAAGGAAGCTGCAGGGCAAGGAAGCTACAGTGAAAGAGAGTTCAGACTCAAATTCCTTCTTACTTAGCACAAGGATCCTGAACCCTCGTCGTCCTTTGAGAATCTCACCCATGTTTCCTTTAATCTTCAGGAAAAAGATATAAAGCAATTTCTTTCCCCTCCAATTAAAGCAGAGTGGTTGGCGAAGGGCAGGAGATACGTTCAGCAGAACATCAAAAGTAGTAACTGGTTCTTCGCTTTCTTCTGTAGACAGTAGTTCGCGATGGCAAGAGAGAAAGCATCATCAGCACCCTGTTCGTCTCTCCATCCGACATCGAGAACGGCCAAAGCATCGTCTGCCGAGCTACCAACAAAGCAGTTCCAAGTGGAAAAGAGACTTCAGTCACCATAGACATCCAACGTGAGTGTGTTGGCGGGTGTTGATCTTTTTCAGTCGGCTTTCGCCATTTTCTTCCACACAACATTCCCACTGTATCAAAGGTGCTTTTTTCGAAAGCCAAATGGACTTTCTTTGTTTGTTTGTTTTTAATTGGAAGACGTTTCGCTTCTCATCCAAGAAGCTCCATCGGTTTCACGCCCCCATTTTGCACACTGATTCCACACCCATTTACACACGGACTCAAGGTGATCCTGAGGACGCAGATAAAACCTCAAGTGGCCTCAGCAGAGTGATAACAACCAGATGACTGCAAAGAAATAGGATCCTTCCATTCCCCTCCCCTCCCCACCAATCCTGTCACAACTAAGCCTTCCATCTCACCCACCATCCGATGAAGGTTCCTGGATGAGAAGTGAAATGTCTTCAAATAAAAACAAAGAAAGAAAGTCCACTTGCCTTTTGAAAAAGCACCTTTGAGACTACCATGACCAGGATGACTGAGAATCTCCATAGACATTCACACTGTATGGAGAAGGGGTCAGAAATGAGATTACCTATACAGTCATTGTGGTCTATCCTCTTTACCTAATCCAATTACCATAAAAAGCTATTGGAGAATTGCTACCACCCTCAACCACCTGTAACTCCAGGATATTTGGGAGGGGGTGGGAAGAGAAGGGAGCCTGGCACTTAAACTGGGACACCAAATCTATGTGAGTATGATTCTGTATGCACACTCTAGTTTAGTTGTCTCTTTGTTGGCTTGTTCAATGTTGAAATCGATCAGCAGAAAGGACAACATTGAGGTGACGATAGTGCCAAATTTCCCCTTTTTATGGTTGGGGATGGTGCTATAAGAGAAAGTTGATGAATTCTCAGGGGTTTTCAGTAATGTAAGAGGCAGAGAGTAGAAATAAGGAAATTTGTTTTTTGCCTTGATGGAAAAGAAACATAGATTTCCACATCTAGTAAGAATAAGGCTTTAGAACAGTGATGGCAAAACTTTTAGAGACCCAGTGCCCAAATTGCAACCCCAAACCCACTTATTTATCACCGGGTGCCAGGTGGGCGTGGCCGCGGTGGTCATGGCAGACTGGGTGGGTGGGGCCAGGGTGGCGGGGCCAGTCCCTCACCATCTCCAGGGCACGGCATGCGTGCCCACAGAGAGGGCTCGGAGTGCTGCTTCTGGCACACGTGCCATAGGTTCACCACCACTGCTTTAGAAGATGCCATAACATGTCTCATATTACTGAACACCCAACAACTAGCAAACTTTTGATGTTCTTATAGCATTCTGTAGTTTGCCCAGGAGGAATGTTTACAATGCACATATTCTTAGGGCATTCATGATACATATGCTGTAGCTATAGATGGGAGAGCATGACAAATTGCCTGTGTTTGTTTACTTGAAGAATTGAAGAAATTGAATGTGCTGTCCCTCTCCTTTCCCTCCCCCCCCAAAAAAAAACACCCCAAAAATGACATAGGGACATTTGAATCTATTTACTCCTATTTACTCCTATTTGAATCGATTTACTCCTAGTGAGCAGTTTCACTGGTCAGTCATTAAGGCCAAACGAGTCTTCTCAACCGCATGGAAATGCAAGGCAGTTGTAGCCTAAATAATTTAGTGTTTGCAACGGCTAGCAGTTATTGCCAGATGAATTGTCAAGATTCAAAGCATCCTGAAAATGAAAGTCTAGGGAAACACGGAAAGGGCAAAGGGGAAGGTATGTTGCTGAGTTAACAGGTTTTGATGGCACTGATGTTTGGTGTTATTAAAGTGAGGAAAACTTACAGAGAGGGGTTAATAATGTAATTTAGCTGGCTGGAGCTTAAATTGCTGAAAAGTGGTCTCAAGTCAACTGTTGAGAGAGGAACAACATAGTAGCTTCTAAGTGGAGTGAATAGGATATCAGTCCAAAACAAGGGACACAGACATGGGAAGTGCGTTGGAGGAAATTATGGATGTACGGCATTATTGAATGCTAAGTTGTAAATGAGAAGGCATGAAACTCTTTTTAAGCAGTAAACAAGCTTTGTTTTAATGGTTATAACTTGTGGATAGACTGTATTTGCATCACAAGTAAATAAGTAGACTTTTTACTAAGTTCAATTCAATTTAATTTAAAATTTAATAAAATTTTATGCTTTACAAAATTTGCATAACATTCAAAACAAGCAATAATATTAAAAAAAAAAACCACAGAAACAATACAAAACAAAGGAACAGTGACGCCAAAAGAAAACATATTCAGAGAAGTTTCTGCCCTAAAAGTAGTCCATGTTGAACTGTCTGGCACTGTCAAATATCAGGAACTAACCACAGGAAATGTTTAATGACATTTTGTATTAAGCCATAAAATGCTCCATAGTCATTTTTACGTCATAAAATGTTTTCTAAAACTTGGCCAAATTTCAGTTCCACGGGAATGTGTCCTGGATTTGGGGTGCATTCTGTAAGTTAGCTAATTTGAAAATGTTGGTTGAAAATATTTTGCACCATTTCGCCCAGTTAGAGGTTATAGACACAAAAGTGTTTTTTTTAAAAAGGCAACTGGCCTTATACTGCTTATACTTATCTGTGCCCTCCAAGTGGCCTCAGGGGCTCTCAGAGAGAGTGCTCATGAACAGATCATTGCAAGGAGCATAAATCCTTTCATCCTCCACCCTTCAGTCAGAACTGAAGAAGCTTCTTGGATGAGAAGCGAAATATCATCAAGAAAAAAACAAAGAATGTCCAGTTGCCTCTTGAAAGAAGCATCTTTGGGACAGCCACTATCTGGATGACTGAGAATCTCCATAGACAGTTGCAGACACAAGAAATTTTAGTAGTATATAAATTCCAGTTTGAAAATGAAGCAGGATTGCTGAATCAGAAGCAGGCACTCCTGATGTTCACATGTCAACTATCGTCCAAAATGAAGACAGTGATTCCATAAAAACTTCCAGATGTAATGAATGAAATTTATTCATTGGGGGACCTTGATTCTTTTAGCAGCTTAAACTTTCTGCAAAATTGGCCATTCTTCTTTAGACCAATGGAAACAACTATAGCACAGTCATTCTAGCTTTTTCCATACTTATCGTTTCAAATATTGGTAGTCTCCATTTTGAACTGACGTTGCTTTTAAGTAGCAATGCTGCAAGAGATGAATGGCGTGAGAGCTGAATTTGTGCTGTGAACCAATCACCGCCCTCGTTGCTTTACAGAAATAATATTTCTTCATGGCTGAAAGGACAACATAAATATCTACACTTACTAATACAAGTCACCTACTTTCTGCATTTTTCAAGGAGGACAGATTAAGGGGAAATCCATTTTATATAAATGCAACATGGGTGGCTGAAATAAATCACTGGGGCTCAAGATGAAAANTTGGAAGCTGTGTGTCAATTAAAATTTTCTTAAAATCATCCCTACCTAAAATCCTCCCTAGGTCAGGCCCGCTTGCTGGAAAAGCCATGTCTTGAGGGCGCGGCGGAAAGTAAGGAGATCCGGAATCATCCGGATCTCGGGGGGTAGTTTGTTCCAGAGGGTGGGGGCACCCACAGAGAAGGCCCTCCCCCTGGGGGTCACCAGCCTACATTGCTTGGCCGACGGCACCCTGAGGAGGCCCGCTCTGTGGGAGCGTACCGGTCTATGGGAGGGAATCTGTGGCAGAAGGCGGTCTCGGAGGTAGCCAGGTCCAATGGTGCTATAAGAGAAAGCTGATGAATTCTCAGGGGTTTTCAGTAATGTAAGAGGCAGAGAGTAGAAATAAGGAAATTTGTTTTTTGCCTTGATGGAAAAGAAACATAGATTTCCACATCTAGTAAGAATAAGGCTTTAGAACAGTGATGGCAAAACTTTTAGAGACCCAGTGCCCAAATTGCAACCCCAAACCCACTTATTTATCACCGGGTGCCAGGTGGGCGTGGCCGCGGTGGTCATGGCAGACTGGGTGGGTGGGGCCAGGGTGGCGGGGCCAGTCCCTCACCATCTCCAGGGCACGGCATGCGTGCCCACAGAGAGGGCTCGGAGTGCTGCTTCTGGCACACGTGCCATAGGTTCGCCACCACTGCTTTAGAAGATGCCATAACATGTCTCATATTACTGAACACCCAACAACTAGCAAACTTTTGATGTTCTTATAGCATTCTGTAGTTTGCCCAGGAGGAATGTTTACAATGCACATATTCTTAGGGCATTCATGATACATATGCTGTAGCTATAGATGGGAGAACATGACAAATTGCCTGTGTTTGTTTACTTGAAGAATTGAAGAAATTGAATGTGCTGTCCCTCTCCTTTCCCTCCCCCCCCAAAAAAAACACCCCAAAAATGACATAGGGACATTTGAATCTATTTACTCCTATTTGAATCGATTTACTCCTAGTGAGCAGTCTTTCACTGGTCAGTCATTAAGGCCAAACGAGTCTTCTCAACCGCATGGAAATGCAAGGCAGTTGTAGCCTAAATAATTTAGTGTTTGCAACGGCTAGCAGTTATTGCCAGATGAATTGTCAAGATTCAAAGCATCCTGAAAATGAAAGTCTAGGGAAACACGGAAAGGGCAAAGGGGAAGGTATGTTGCTGAGTTAACAGGTTTTGATGGCACTGATGTTTGGTGTTATTAAAGTGAGGAAAACTTACAGAGAGGGGTTAATAATGTAATTTAGCTGGCTGGAGCTTAAATGGCTGAAAAGTGGTCTCAAGTCAACTGTTGAGAGAGGAACAACATAGTAGCTTCTAAGTGGAGTGAATAGGATATCAGTCCAAAACAAGGGACACAGACATGGGAACTGCGTTGGAGAAAATTATGGATATACGGCATTATTGAATGCTAAGTTGTAAATGAGAAGGCATGAAACTCTTTTTAAGCAGTAAACAAGCTTTGTTTTAATGGTTATAACTTGTGGATAGACTGTATTTGCATCACAAGTAAATAAGTAGACTTTTTACTAAGTTCAATTCAATTTAATTTAAAATTTAATAAAATTTTATGCTTTACAAAATTTGCATAACATTCAAAACAAGC